TATCAGTTTCCTTAGTTTTAAAATAGGAATGATAATGATGATGGTAATTTATTTTCAGGTTCTGTAAGGTTTAGTGTAGTCAATACACAGCATTTAGAGCAAGGCCTGGCATGTGGGTAGCCCTTTAAGGTTTAGTTATTTATAATTGTGCTTTTAGGGTAGTAACTCCTCATTTGTTTTTGACCCTGAAGCCCCCATTGGAAAGAAAAACCAATTTTTCCGTTTCCCATGTGATGATTAGAAACCTTTTAAGATCTACGTGGGGAGTGAACACACATGACAAGATGGTAGTGGGAATCCAGTGATACTCCTGTCTTAGAGTGGGGCTCACCACTGTCCAGACCTATCCCAGAGTTAGGGCAGGGCTTTTCCTTCCACACTGCTACCCATCTATTGTCAAGGCTAGTTTCAGGGCTGTTCAGGAATGGTAGCCACTGAAAAGGAGATTGTTAACAGCCGGGCAGGTGGGATGAGCTCAGCAAAGTCTCTGGAACAACCATTGCATGCCCTGGTGATGGATGACAAGTGCAGGCACTGATAAAAGCCTGCTGGTCCCTCCACTCACCAGCATATTCGGACTCACTCCTGCTTCTCTACTCAGTGGTCCAGCCATGCATGAGTCCTGACCTCTGTTCTAGGTCACACATTCCATCCTCTTCTAGCGTGAGGCTCCATCATCTACTGTGCTTGGGGACAGGTGATGGGGGTGTCTTTCTTTCCCTCTGTATTCTCATTCTCACCTAGCCTTATGTCATAAAATCTAATCCTAACTTCCTTAAGGTTTTCCCCTTTCTTTTTTCTTTTTTTTAATTTGAGAGAGAGAGTGAGAGAGAGAGAGAGAGCATGAGTTGGGGGAGGAGCAGAGGGAGAGGGAGAAGCAAACTCCTCACCCCAGGGAGCCCAACACAGGGCTTGATCCTGGCACTCCGGAATCATGACCTGAGCCGAAGGCAGATGCTTAACTGACTGAACCACCCAGGTGCCCCATCCCTTTAATTCTTTTTCTTTTCTTTTTTTTTTTAAAGATCTTGTTTATTTATTTGACACAGAGAGAGAGACAGCAAGAGCAGGAACACAAGCAGGGGGAGTGGGAGAGGGAAAAGCAGGCTCCCCGCTGATCAGGGAGCCCAATGCGGGACTCGATCCCAGGACCCTGGGATCATGACCTGAGCCAAAGGCAGACACTTAACGACTAAGCCACCCAGGCGCCCCTTCCCTTTAATTCTTAAGGCAAGAACTATTTTGTTCTCTCTGTCTTTCTGCTACAACAAACCCAATTCTCTTAGAGTCTATAGGAGAGTGTCAACCTAACGAGGAGCTGGTCCTAATCCTGTATGTCACCACACTGTATGACATCAGTCAAATCACCTCACTCCTTAGTGCCCCAGTTTCCTCATCTGTAAAATGGGGAGACAAAATTGCCTCAGTTATGAGGTCCTGGGCATTTAAATGAGATAATGCATGGAGACCTGTGTGGCTCGGTCATTTGAGCGTCCAACTCTTGGTTTCAGCTCAGGTCATGATCTCATGGGTTGTGAGATCGAGCCCCATGTCGGGCTCTGCTCTCAGTGGGGAGTCTGCTTGAAGATTCTCTCCCTCTGCCCCTCCCCCCACTCACAGGCTCCCTCTCTCTCTCAAATAAAGAAATAAATCTTAAAAAAAAAAAACCTTAAAATAAATAAATAAATGAGATAATGCATGTTAAGTGCTTAGCACAGTGCAGGGCCGGGCTCATGGAGAAAGCTCAATTTAAAAAACTCTACGGGGGCGCCTGGGTGGCTCAGTTGGTTAAGCAACTGCCTTCGGCTCGGGTCATGATCCTGGAGTCCCAGGATCGAGTCCCGCATCGGGCTCCCTGCTCAGCAGGGAGTCTGCTTCTCCCTCTGGCCCTCCCCCCTCTCATGTGCTCTCTCTCATTCTCTCTCTCTCAAATAAATAAATAAAATCTTTAAAAAAAAATAATAAAAAAATAAAAAACTCTACGGGCACATAAAACTGAAGACCCAAAAGGCTCTTATTTTTATGGAGTCTAAAACTAAAATTTATTAGAAAACTCTCTTTATCCATTCCTGACCTCAAAACTGGACTCTAAATATTTAGTCCAAATTATTAACACTGCTTTGAAATTCTCTCTTCTATTCCCTCCATCCTGTGACCTCTGACATGAGGTCATGACATGATGTCATAATTCACCTCCTGCTCCGATTTGTGAGAATTTCCCGAGCTGGTTCTTAGGCTCCCTCACTTTTTGCATCTGGGAGGTCACTGGCAGGATACATGGTCTCACCTGTGAACACTCAGAGGTAGGGTTGCCATACATTTTGCTCTTGGTTTTACTTCCTTTGCCTAACATGAATAATGATATTAGTGAATGGCTTCAGAAACTCTTCTTCCATCTTTGCGTCTTTAAGGATTATGTTTCTGGTTTGGGTATGGCCTGTGACAGTATGGAAAATTAGGAGTGATTATTTGCATCTCAATAGTTTTCCCTCTGTGGCAGTCAGGTAAGCCCCTTCAATGCCCTGATTTACCCACTTGGTTTTTCTTCTCTCCCGGGTGCAGGACCAGCTACATAATTTGTGGAGCCCAGTGCAAAATGAAAATGGAGAGCTTCCTGTTGGAAGATTAAGAATTTCAAGATGGCCAGAGGAGAGCATTAGACCAAGAGCAGGGCCCTTCTAAACCTGAGGCCTTCCTGAGAACAGGGCCCTGTGGGACTACACAGGTGGCTGACCATGAAGACAATCCTGCCCGGAAGGCAGTGGTGGTAAAGACCTTTAGAATCCTGTAGGCTTGGATTAGAGGCCTACCTCTGCAAGTTGCTTTTCTTGGGGGAGAAGTATATGATAAAGAGGACACAGGAGCTTATTAGATCATTAGGGGCACATTAGTTTGATGGTTTCCAGGAACCAGAACCAACATTTCAGCATCCCACTTAAGTGCTGACTACCTAAAATTTTCTTATTGAGATATAATTCGCATATCATAAAATTCACCCTTTAAAGTGTACAGCCCAGTGGTTTTTAGTATAGTCGCAGAATTGTGCAACCTTCACCACTATCTAATTCCACAGGATTTTCATCCCCCAAAAGTCACCCCATATCCATTAGCAGTCACTTCCCATGCACTCCTGCCTCAGCCCCCAGTGACCACAAATCTGCTTTCTGTCCCTATGGGTTTGCCTGTTCTGGACATTTCATATAACTGGAATTATACAATATGTGGCCTTTTGTGTCTGACTTCTTTCACTTAGCATAATGTTTGTAAGGTTCATCCATGTTGTAGCATTTATCAGTACTTCATTCCTTTTTCATGGCAGAATAATATTTCATTGTATGGATGTACCACATTTTGTTTATCCATTTATCCAATGATGGACATTTGGGTTGCTTCTACATTTTGGCTATTGTGAATACTGCCGCTGTAGTAAATATTTATGTATACTACAAATGTACAAATGTAGTTGTGTATTTGTATACAAGTTTTTGTGTGAACATACGTTTTCAACTCTCTTGGGTATACACCTAGGAGTAGAATTCCTGGGTCTTACTGTAACTCTATGTTTAACTTTTTGAGGAACTGTCAAACTGTGTTCCAGAGCAGCTACACCATTTTACATTCCCAGAAGTGTATGAGGGTTCCAATTTCCCCCAGTCTCACCAATACTTGTTATTATCTGTCTTTTGTGGTTTCTCCTTGTGGTTTTGATCTGCATTTCCCTGATGACTAATGATGTTGAGCATCTTTTCACGTGCTTCTGGACCATTTGTATATATTCTTCGGAGAAATGTCTATTCAGATCCTTTGCCCATGCTACACCATGGCTAAAACTTAAAAATATTTAAAATTGTTTTTTTTTTTGGTCTTTTTTATTGTTGAGTTACAGGAGTTCTTTATATATCCTGAATATTAGATAAATGATTTGCAAGTACTCCTATTCTGTAGGTTGTCTTTTCACTTTCTTGATAGTGTATTTGAAGCACAAACGTTTTGAATTGTGTTGAGTCCAATTTATCTATTTTTTTCTTTTGCTTGTGCTTTTGGTTTCATATCTAAGAAACTGTTGCCTAATCCAAATTCATGAAGATTTACTCCCACATTTTCTTCTAAGAGTTTTACAGTTTTAGCTCTTACATTTAGCTCTTTGATCCATTTTGAGTTAATTTATGCATATGATGTGAGGTAGGGGGCATGTAATTTTAATTCCTGCTCAGCCTCTCAATAATCATGTACCCTTTGGTAAGTTCCTGAACATCTCTACGTTTCAATTTCCTCATCAATAAAGTGGGAATAACAAATAGTACCTAAAATCATAAGGTTATGGTGACGATAAAGAGAAAATGTACATAAAGCACTTAGCAACGTGCTTGAAGCGTCCTAACTGCTCCATAAACGTGGTAGTTATTACTGTTATAATATGAACAATGGGTAAATGCTTTCATAGAGGAGGTACCACAAAGACCGGCAGCATTTCTGAGAAAGAAACTGGGATGGGGGAGGCTTGCTTAGTCTACCTGGAGGAGCAGGTGTGGGATTGTTACGGGAGTGTCTGTCTTGGATAGGCCACTGCCTCCCGTTCACCTCTAGGGATTGGCAAAAATTTTAATTCCCGGGCCCATCCCAGAACTACGGAAAGGAGCCCCCAGGGCACAGAATCTGCGTATGCATCAACTTCCCCAGACGCAAACTTATTTCCAGAGCGGGGTGTGCAGGGCGGTGACGGTGATCGCGCCGGCAGCGCCGCCTGTAGCCTTCAGGGGGCGGCCGAGGGCCCGGGGCGGTCACGGCGGCTGCGCGAAGCCCTCCCCAATCCGGGCCGCCCGAGCCGGATCCGCCCGGCTCAGCTGACAGCTCCTAACACGGAAGAGGCGGTGCCGAGCGCAGGTTGGAGCCCGGCGTCTGTAGGCCGGCGCGGCGGTGGCGGTGAGGGCGCCAGGGCGAGGGCGGAGGGCGGAACCTTCGGGCCCGGCACGGCGGGGTGGCCGGAAGGTACGGTGGGGACCGCGCTCCGGGCACGCGAGGCAGAGAAGAGCGGCCGGGCCGAGACTGCTCAGTGGGCCCGAGCCCCCCGAATCCTGGACGGGGCGTCCCCAGCCGGGCCGGGCTGAGATCCCACCCCACCTGGGGCGCTCAGAGGAGGAAGGGGAAGGTCCAGGCCCTGCTCGTTGGGGACGCCCGGGCCCGGCGCACACCTCCCACTTTCGTACAGCGCCCTCTGTGTCCAAGGGCTGGGGCAGGTAGCGAGGCTGGGGCTTGCCCCCTGGTTGTAGGTGAGTCGCACAGACAACGACTCAGCACGCCTGGTGGTGAGCCGGGGAGATACCCAAGGCGGCGTGCTGATTCCGGAGCCTGGGCTGACCCCAGCTCTGCAGTTTGCACGGTGTGGCCTGGGAGAATGAGTAGGATTTTCCCAGGCGGGAGGGAAAGCCGGCGGAGGAGGGCTTCCCTCCCTGGTGTAGCGGCCTCCCGTTTGCCAAGGCTAATATTAAACTTGATGTCTATCTCTCATCTGATGGCGCCGGGGTGTATTCTTGTTCCTGGGTTACAGATGAAAAAACAGAGTGGTCTGAACCCAGATTTAGTTATCAGCGGTGTGACCTTGGGCCCGAAAGGGACTTAAACTGTCGTTTTTCTCATCTGTGTAATGGAAGCAGTAAGAGGACTTGCTTCATGGAGTTGTGGGAATCTAACAGGAGTTATTGCATTTAAAGGGCTTAGCACAATGCCTGACACAGGCTTAGGAGCCCAGTAGGTATTACTTTTCTTGGTGTTATTGTGAATCCTGCTTCTAGTGGGATGTGGCAGAGCAGTCACTGAACCTTAAGATTCTGGTCCCCAGTTTCAGCACACTGCATCTCACACCCATTCAGTTCCATTTTTTTCCCCCCAGTGTCAAACACAAGGCACTGCTAGATGGTGAGAACAACACACAGATGCATAAGATTTGATACTTGCCCTTAAGGAGCAAATGCAGTCTGGTGGTGCAAGTTCAGAAACTGCTATAATGCAAAGTGCGATGTGATAATGTCATAGGAAAGTTATAGTAAAAAAAAAAATTGGCTGGATTTTTAAGGATGACATGTAATTGAAAATTTCTACATAGAATGGGGCCTTTGGACATGGCTCTTGAAGGCTGAGTGGATAAAATGAAAATGAAATGTGGGTCTGCCATGTGAATTAAGGGACTGGGACCCGGTGACAGCTTTAGAAGCAGGGGTCTGGTGGGGTAGGTTATGAGGAGCTGTTTAGGGGAAACACTGCTTGGAGTAGAGCTTCTCAATCCTAGCTGCACTTAAGAATCACCTGGAGAGCTTGGATAACTATTAATGCTTGATTTAATTGCTCTAGAATATGGCCTGGGTATTGAGAGTTTAAAACGCAGTTCTCCAGGTGATTCTAATGTGCAGACAAGATGGAGAACACTAACCTAAACCAGAATCATAAATTCATCTTTCACCCCATTTATAACTGTTCAAACAGGAAGAAACAGAAACCTTAATTACGTTGTCATCACGCACTAAGTCTGGTAAAATTGTTTAAGATTAAATAAGTTAATGTGAAAGGACCTAATACAATATAGAGTAGGTGCTCAGTAAATGTAAATGATTCTGAATTTCATTCTTAGCTTATTTGGGAGTCACACATCTGAGAATCTGGTTTAAAAATTACCGTTTCATATAATGTTTTTGCGTATAACTTCATAGTGTTCTTAGGGCTCTCCGTAACCCATCTGTAGACCACCCTCCCCTTCCCCCTTACTCCCAGTTGAGAAGTCTGGCTCTAAAACTTCCAGAATAGAACTTAAAAGTGTGTATGTGTGCATGCATGTGCACCCTTTTGTTGTTTTGTTTTAAATATCTTGCTGTCATGGTTAAATTGACCTAATGTTGAGTGTCCCTAGCAGGATTAATTCATTAGTAGGTGAGAGGAGAAACTGGAGGGGGATAGGAAATGAAGAAAGAGAAGAAGCTGAAGAGGAAAGAAGAAACAAAAACAAAAACAAACCCAAGAAGATGTTTAGATGTTTGTTATGGGACTTGATGTGCTCACATCACATATGACCTTGGTATTCCACCTTGGCTCCTCCCAGGGCTGAAGGCAGTCAGATAAGGCTTGTCTCATTGCTGGGGACCTGCAAATACCCCTTTAACCACGTTGCTCAGTTAGGCTCTCCTAGAGAAAGTAGTATGCAGCTGTAGATTGGCACTATGTGTTAGGATGTGTTTGACTTAAGTGGTAATAACAGAAATTCAGAATTTAAATTTGGAGAGTGTCCTAACACCATCTTTTGTATTTTTTTTCTGCAGATGGCAGGATTTCTATAGTATATCTAGTATGAGTTCCAGATCTTGGCCTTTTATCCAACTTCAACAGTCTCATCTCCACCTTCTGGAGGATAAATGGGATTTGCATAAATTCCAAATTCTGAACTAAAAAACAGGCCGCATTGTCAATATCTTTTTCTTCTGGTTGTTATTAACAGGTACTAACTCACCTCAACTGGAACGTGTCACTGTGTTCTGTTTGGGATAGGGATGCCGCTTAAGCAGAATCAAGATCATCTGGCAAAAAAATATGTTTTGAAAACGGAGTCATTTTAAATGAACTTGTTCAAATTTTGTAGTGTCACCTTTTATAATGTCCTAACTTTTCAGTTGTGTACATTTCAAATAAAAAAAAATTTTAGTTGAGAGGGGGCATATTTGCAAATCCAGTTATAGTCCAATATTTTAATTGACAGAATGGTAATTTGTTGTTGCCTTAATAAAGTAATTTTCATAGATTCTCATTACATATTTTTCTGCATATACATTATCTGAAATTGTGGTGCATCTCTTAGTTGATGCGCTTAAAAAGCATCGATTTTACATTGTAATTGCAGCATATTTTCATTCTTAGTTTTGCCTAAAATAATGGTAAATCTTATATTTGTTTTGACAAAGTGTTGTATCTGACAAATTTAATGTTCCTTTGCTAGCCTCTCAATTATCTAACCTCTCCTATAGTATCTGTCTCTGTAGCGTTCTCTAGAACAGGGTGTTCTCAACTGGGTCCCCCCACTGCACCCCTGGGGGGAGCACATTTGGCTCTGTTGAGGGGGAGGCATGCTGTTGACATCTAGTAGGTTGAAGCCAGGAATGTTGGTACACATCCTGTAGGGCACAGGACAGCCTCCCACCACAAAGAATTATTTGTTCCAAAGTGTCAATAGTACCGAGGTTGAAAAAACCTGCCCTAGAGATTTCTGTGCATTTAAAAAATTTGTTGATTTTCAGGAAGTATATCACATATACTTTAATCTTTCTGTGAGCAAGGCACTTTGCTGGTTTGGTGGGCAAGTCAAAATAATTTGTGATTTGTCCTTTTTTTTTTTTTTTAAAGATTTATTTGTTATTTTAGAGAGAGAGAGAGCTTGAGCAGGAGGGGCAGGCGGTGAGGGAGGGAGAAACTCAAGCCGACTCCAAGCTGACATTGGAGCCTGATGCAGGGCTCAGTCCCACGACCCTGGGATCACTACCTGAGCCGAAACCAAGAGTCAGAAGCTTAACCGACTATGCCACCCAGGTGCCCCAATGATTGGTACTTTTTAAAAATTTTTTTTAAATTGTGCTTTTTTTCCCCTAAATCAGTGATACCTAACTGATGAAGTCAGCAATTAGAAGCACCACAACCATCATTTTTGAAAAAGCTGTTACTATTGCGAAGCTACTGGAATATTAGATATGTCTTATCCTTTCTAGTTTAGCAGAAAAGTGAGAAATTTGATTCTTTGCAGTTGTTTGTGAAGAACTTTACCTTTTTTTTTTTTTTTTGGTGCCACTAGACTTTTCCAAACTCTGTGCCATTTCTATTCTTAACTAATTTGAATGATTGTCTTCAGCTCCTCAGAAAATTAAATGTCGTCAGAAGATCGAGAAGCTCAGGAGGATGAATTGCTGGCCCTGGCGAGTATTTATGATGGAGATGAATTTAGAAAAGCAGAGTCTGTGCAAGGTGGAGAAACCAGGATCTATTTGGACTTGCCACAAAATTTCAAGATATTTGTGAGCGGTTAGTTAATAAGATTCTCTTAAACAGATTTTTCTAAATGTTATTCTCAGTTTCTTAGTGTTCCCTGAATTATTTGCCATCTTGTGTTTATAGGCATTAGTGGTAGATGGTAGTATTACAGATTGAATGCATGTTTCTATTTTAATTGAAAACTGGACTACAGGTAAATAGTTCTCAATTTGATTCGCCTTTTGACCACTGAATTGGGATATTATCCTGCATATTTCATGCATTCTAATCGTCTAACTAGCAGTTTATCAGCTATGAATCATGGCTGTTAAATAGGGATAATAAAAGAGAAAATGACATAATGTATGTGAAAACGCTTGGAAGGTTTTAAAGTACCATGGTGGTTGTTAATACTATTTGGTTTCCAGAATCATTTCAACTACCATAAACCTGTGACATATGCTGTTACTCTGTGACCTTTTGCTTCAGAAAAAAACCAAAACTGCTGCTTTTGATACAAACTCACAGAAGACTTTGGTGCACACTTTCTCAAAAAGTTTCTGCTATAAAGGCATTGAGTAAAGAAAGTAAGTGTGATAATTTAAAATGAAACTTTGATTGTGAGAGTGTTGTGTGCTGTATCTTGCCCTCAAGCCTGAGATCATTGTGTTGGCACAGATTCTCCCAGCTATGATTCATGGATAGTTGGCACATGCCGCTCTAAATTGGTCATGGCTCTTTAATAGAAATAAACGTCCTTTTCTCTAGATTGTGTCTGTAATCATCTGTAAAACAACAACAAAAAGAAAACATTGGTGTATTACTTGCTTATTAGTTAGTGTTAGGAATTGTACTGAAAAGCGTATATGAGAATGAGTTATGTGTCTTCATTAGAAATTTCATGGTGCTTAGTAGATTTCTCCAGGGCTTACAAGATTTTTTTTTTAAGGTGGTGGCTACGAAGTGAAAATTAGGAAATAGAAAGTGCTTTGGGGGAGGGTTTTTATCCCCTCAACTAAAGCATTAGTCTTTCTTGAGCACCGCTCAACAGTAATGGACACTCAAGTGCTGACCAACTGATTCTTTCTAATCTTTGTTTTTGGTTCAGGCAATTCAAATGAGTGTCTCCAGAATGGTGGCTTTGAATACACCATTTGCTTTCTGCCTCCACTTGTGCTGAACTTTGAACTGCCACCAGATTATCCATCCTCCTCCCCACCTTCATTCACACTTAGTGGCAAATGGCTGTCACCAACTCAGGTTAGACCCGAAACTTAATTTCTCTTATCCATTTTTAGAAACTTTTAAAAATCATCTTTAATTGAAGACTACCTTGATGATCTTGAATTCAGTGCATGAAGAACAAATGGCTTTGATTTTGTAATTTTTTTCCCCTTGCCTTCATGAATCCTAATGTTAATGAATTGAAAATGTTGGGTGTTTTAGAAAGGAACGGCAATGATTAGGATGACTAATCACTATGAATTGCAGTAGGAATAATTTTTAAGCAAGTATATATGTTTTTCCCTATCTTGCTATTTTCCCATTTAATCTGTGTTGTAATAGGGACGATAAGGTCCTCCTCATTTTCCTTAGATGTTGGTATTACTTTTTTTTCTGAGTTTCTTATCCATTCCTTAAATGAAAGATTTAACTGTAATTAGGAGGGCTAAAATTGAGCTGATGTAGTTAGAATAAACAGAGTTCCTAAGTAAACATAGTAAGTGCTTTTAGTTTTAGAGATCTGTGTATTAATAACAAATAATTGTTGACTGGTCTCCCATGGATGTAAATGCACACAGATAGAAATGTGTATGATTCCTACATCTCCTCTCTCATGAACCTCGTATTTATGAAGCCTTCATTTCCTCCAGCTTACATAGCCTTTTCGTGTAACAACCTCGGCTCTTGATTGAGATGTAAATATGACTTGAAGCTAATATAAAGTACTCTGGGATAGATAATGGATCAATAGCAGCTACTTTTCTAGAAGTCATGATGAAGATTGATAGGCTGATGTATATTAAGACAAAAGCTGTCAGAGTTACTTGACCTCAAGGAACAGCTTGTCAGTTTTTCCCTTTTGATCCATGGAGTTTTCATTCTACCCCACTGGCCAGTCTAATCTTTCAGATGAGAGTCCTTTTGTAAAATTGAGCTTATGGTTTAAAAACAAAATTTAATTTTAAAAAAGGATAATACATGTCGAATAAAAAAGGAGTATTACCTAACATTCTGATAACTGTGCCAGAGGAAATATATGCAAGACAGTGGATTATTTGCCCAAGAATAATATCAAGGCTGTTTGACATTTAGATCACAGAGAGTTGACTGAATTATTTAGATGTTGATAATCTCATTTCTCCAGAGAGCTCTTGATACTTTATATCCATGCATGTGTGCACATGCCTACACACAGGCGCAAAACAAGGACCGATTCACTGAGCGTGTGGTTGCAGTTTCAGATTCCAGCCAAGCAGCATCTACATACTGCTGGGTTTTGGGAGTGTGAGAAGAGAGTTGTTCATTATTCTATGTGTTACAGCTGAAATTACAATAGGATCCTCTGTCAGATAAATTCTTGTGCATATGATTGACGTTTTAATTGGCCTCATATTCCTTCTTGGTTCAATTCTTGTTGTTTGCTGGGCCCTGATTCCTTGACATTGTGAATCTCACCTGTTGATAGAGAAGTTGACACATAGTCCTGTCTTTCCCTGGATTGGGTTTGGTACAGAGAAGGGAAGTGAGGTTAGCCTCATAGTATTTTCCATTATACTTCGCCCACTATATATACAAACACAGTCTCTCTCTTATTCTTTTCCTCTTTCAATTCCCCTGACCTCACATTTATGTGCATCCCAGCTGCCTCTTTTGAGAGTGGCTGGAAAAGAGGATGGAGGAGAACGGCTTCTTCATTGGACTTGGTGGCTCAAATAGCACTCAGAGCTCCCCATTTAGTATTTAATAAATTTTACACATTTCAGCAGGTTTCTCAGAAGTATGATTGATCTTAGAAGCATATTCATGTAAATGTGAGAAAGCGTTTTGCATGGTATTTAACATAATAAGTTTTAAGTTCAGGAAGTGTTTATGTTTGTGCCTATGTAGGGTTTAGTGAATGGCACTCTGTAGAGCAAGGAATAGAAAATGTGGTCCTTTTTCACTTGTTATTTAAATTTACACAATTTGTCTGCATCTGGAAGGCTTATTTTTTATGTTTAGCTAAAAAGAAAAGCTGCTTATAATTCCTGAGCTCTACTTACCAATATTTTACATTTCTAATGGAAAATCCTCTTATATTTCCCTTTCAAATTGAACAAACCACCTTTAAAGAGGAAAAGTCAAAGTAGTTTAAACTTTGGTTGCTTAGCTTAGGAAGTGAGAAACCACATTGAGGGCTTATAATCATGTCCAGGTCTGTCTCCATATCAGTCTGTCTCCCTCCATTAACCAGGATCTCATGTAAGCCCAGATTGCTTAGTTAAAACCAGCTTGTGAATCTGACTAACGAGGATTCTGAGGTTGGATTCTGTTAGTGATTCTTTCACATGAGTTGGCTTTTTGATGGGACTGAAAAAGTTAAGAATTAATGCTTGGATGATGTTTTTAAACTGCTCTCCTTCTAACCATTATGCAGGGTACCTACAGGAGTAGGACTCCAAAGGAATAGAAGTAGTTCATTTTAGAGGTCCATCTTTTTCTCCTGCATGAGATAGGTAGCAATACTAAAACAACAAATACAGACAAAATCCTTCATTTCAGTGGCTCATATGTAAACCTATAGTCTTGCTCTTTCTCTCATTTTCAGGTTACTTCTTTTAGCTTCTTACTGTGCGTTCTGCTGTGACTCATGTTGTTGAATAGTGTAAGAAGTGCTCCACTAAGATCATGTTAGGAGTTGTAAGGGCTTAGCTTAGAAGTTAAAAAGATTTCAAGAGAAATGAGGAGTTGACAGTATCCTCACCTTTCCACACTCACCAGCACCCTCCTGTGCTCTCTCCTAGCTCTCTGCTCTCTGCAAGCACTTAGACAACCTGTGGGAAGAACACCGTGGCAGTGTGGTCCTGTTTGCTTGGATGCAGTTTCTTAAGGAAGAGACCCTAGCATACCTGAATATTGTCTCTCCATTTGAGCTCAAGATGGGTTCTCAGAAAAAGGTGCAGAGAAGGACGGCTCAAGCCTCTCCCAACACAGAGCTAGATTTTGGAGGAGCTGCTGGATCGGCTGCGGATCAAGAGGAGGCTGTGGATGAGAGGGCTGTACAGGATGTGGAATCGCTGTCGAGTCTGATCCAGGAAATTTTGGACTTTGACCAAGCTCAGCAGATAAAATGCTTTAACAGTAAATTGTTCCTGTGCAGTATCTGTTTCTGTGAGAAGCTGGGTAGTGAATGCATGTACTTCTTGGAGTGCAGGCATGTGTACTGCAAAGCCTGTCTGAAGGACTACTTTGAAATCCAGATCAGAGATGGCCAAGTTCAGTGCCTCAACTGCCCAGAACCCAAGTGCCCTTCGGTGGCCACTCCTGGTCAGGTAATCCTCTACTCTGCTGGTAGCCGCTTCCTGATTCTCTTTCACAAAGGGAGGCATCTTCTCAGGAGCTTCCTTGATAGGGCTCCTCAGGGCAGGCTGAGGCCTTAGAGCCAGCCCGCAAGTAGTTTCAATGTATCCATCAAGAATGCCTTGGTCTAGGGGCGCCCGGGTGGCTCAGTCGTTAAGCGTCTGCCTTCAGCTCAGGTCATGATTCCAGGGTCCTGGGATCGAGCCCCACCTCGGGCTCCCTGCTCCACGGGAAGCCTGCTTCTCCCTCTCCCACTCCCCCTGCTTGTGTTCCCTCTCTCTGTCAAATGAATAAAATCTTTAAAAAAAAGAATGCCTTGGTCTTACTCAACTGTTGAAGCAAATGTAAATGCTTCCTCTGCTGGCCTCGGCATGAGCAGTTCTTGGCAGGGATGAGTGTCAGAAAAGTAATTATAACGTGTTCTGGTGATTTACTTTATCTGCTGGGATCCCATCAACCTTAGAGAATCACTAGCCTGCCTTTGTGTGAGGTTGGGATCCAAAGGACGTATTCCTTGGAATGGTGAACAGAATCAGGGAGAGCATCCTTGGTTTGACCTTTTTTTTTTTTTTTAATCAACTTTATTAACCCATAAATGTACCCATTTAAAGTGTACAGTCTGCTTAGCTTTGACACACGTGTAGACCCATGTAGCCACCATCTCAGTCAAGGTATAGACTTGGCCACATTTGGTTTGATTTTGAAGTAAGAGAGTTTTAGTTCATGTGCATCTAGTTGGCACCAGCATTTTAAGGATCTCCTCAGAATCAGAACTGGTTGGGAAATCCTCCCATTAATGTGTTTTCTATTTCCCTCCAGGTCAAAGAGCTAGTGGAAACAGAGTTATTTGCCCGTTACGACCGCCTTCTCCTCCAGTCCACCTTGGACCTGATGGCGGATGTGGTGTACTGTCCCCGCCCGTGCTGCCAGTTGCCTGTGATGCAGGAGCCCGGCTGCACCATGGGCATCTGCTCCAGTTGCAATTTTGCCTTCTGTACCTTGTGCAGATTGACTTACCATGGGGTCTCTCCATGTAAGGTGACTGCAGGTGAGTTGTCCCTGTGTGAACTCGATTCTCCTGTCCTGTGCACGCGCGTGCATGCGCGCGCCCGCGCGTACACACACACGCACACACACACACACACACACACACACACCGATTTGGAATTGTTCATTCAACAGGTATTTTTGTTTCAGTTACTGTCCTAGGCTCTGGAGATAGGGTAGTGACCAAATACCCTCATGGAACTTAAATTTTAATGGCGGAGACAGGCAAACAATATAAGAATATTAGATGGTCGTTAAGTGCTATGGAGGAAAAAAAAGGAAATCAGGGACAGGATATGAAATGTTCTGAAGTGGCTTGGGATTTTACTTAGGGAAATAAAGGGAAGACCTCAGTGGTAAAGTGGTTTGAATAAAGACTTGAAAGAACTAAGGAAACAAGCGTGGAGTTGGCTGGCGGGGGTGGGGGGAGGGGAACATGACAGAGAAGGAATGGCAAAGTAGTTTCTATCTATGAACATGGGATAATGCAGCTCCTGGTTGGCCGATGCAAGACCGTCTTAGCTGCCACCCTTGTTTCCATGGCATGTATGTCTGATCAGCCATTAGGTTCTTTATCATTGAGTCCAGGAAAGCCTCAGAATCTTCCTCAGCCTTTAGTGCTTCAGAAGCATTTATTGAAGCGGCTAAGGAGGTGAAACCTATTTGTAATTCTGATCTAAACAGGGATTGAGAAATCAGGCCTCTGACCTCAGTTTAACTGGACTTTGATAGCTTAGTCTTTCTTATACTAACATGATAATAGCTATTTCACAGGGTTATTTTAAGGATCAAATAAACTATCATAGTGCTACTTGAAGCTCGAATTGTTCTTAACACTGGTCTGTGACAAGATAAAGAAATGGAGAGTCAGGGCTAAAAAGTTACAGCGATTTCACAGAGTAATTTTATGTCAAATCTCATAAAAATTTAAGCTTATGTTTCTTGTCCTTTTATAATTTTTCTAATAATTCATTTGATTGTATTTTGCAAAAGTTTTGGTCCTTGGCAGAGTGGTGGGGGAAAAAACTGGTCCTTTACCACGGATAGTTTGAGAATAACGGGCTAATCTAGGTAAAATGCAACATAGTAACTGTTAATGTCATTATTACGATAGTTACTAATTGCGCCTATTACCAGAGTGTTACTACCTCCAACAGAGTAACCCTGACTGATTCTTCCAGTTGCCTAGAGCTGAGTCTTGTAGTGGGTATGGGCAGACGGGATGGAGAATTGCTTTAGACTTCTGTAACCTTATCATCGAGAGGATGAAGTACGTATGTCTCAGGTGTTTCACGGCCTTTGTGGAAGAAATCAAAGAAGCTTGGGGGCTTCAGCAAAATTAAGAATCTCTTTATCTAGCTGTATGTGTATATATCTGTACATATTAGATACTACTATATAAAATATATGAACTACTAACAATTATTTTGAGAACGTTAGAGCAATAATCTTTGTCCTTAAGAAATCTGGGAACACAAAAATGCTTTGAATTTTTAGAGGGATAAAAACAACAGGATAAAAAGATACATGTGTGCTCCATCTAATTAGAGGTGATGGAGCCATGGGAGTGCACAGTACAGAGAAAGAAATCTTCCCCAAAAGATCCATGGCATAAAAAGGGAGTCAGACGTCTAAATAGTACAGGAGAGTAAACTAATAAAACAACTACAACACTATTGAGAGACGTCTTCAGTTAATCGTGTTGAAGAATTAAGGTGATAGAATGTGAACAAAAGCCTTTGTCTACAAGTAAAGCCCTTGTGAATGGCTGCCTGTTCCATCTGAGTTAAGTGATAGAACCAGTGCAGTGAGGTAGAAAAATAGGGGAAAGTTTGACAGGAGGAACTTTTGCAGTACCTGTGGGTGGTAAATTTTAGTCACTGACTTTTTTTTATCTACAGAATTGAACAGTCTTTGCTCTTGAGCCAAAGATGCTTTTGTTTACTTGGTAGGCCTTGTTACTGTCAGATGATGAATGATGCTGACTTCGTGGAAAATCAGTGTCTCTTTCAACCTTTGTGTCTTTTAGCTAAGTCAGTCTTTAACTGTATGCTACTAGTTGCCAAAATGTGCCAACATTAATAAGTCAGAATCAACAAAAAAGATGACCTCTTACTCTAACACCTTGCACGAGTCCACCTTCTCTAGCTAGTGCGTTCTTTTACGTTCTTTGTCATTTGTACGTGTGTCATTTTTACCTAGTTACAACCTAAATCTGCCCTTTTCTGGATTCTGTAATGAGTATTTTAATTGAGTTGTAGCCATCTCATAAGTTTTTAATAACTAAATATGTCATTAAATGGCTCTTTCACATGTGGCTATTCCCTTGGACATTTAATTTGTTTGCCATTGTTATAGGCATGTCAATGCTTATAACTGTACTTTGGATTATTTCCTCATGATTAAAGTTCCAGTAATAGCATTATTGAATAATCAAAGGTTATGACCATTTTTTAATGGTTTTTAGTCAGCTTTGCAAAGTTGTATAAAAGTTAATTTTCCATTTCACTTTCCAGAGAAATTAATGGACTTACGGAATGAGTACCTGCAAGCAGATGAGGCCAATAAAAGATTTTTGGAACAGAGGTATGGTAAGAGGGTGATTCAGAAGGCACTGGAAGAGATGGAAAGTAAGGAATGGCTAGAAAAGAACTCAAAGAGCTGCCCGTGCTGTGGGACTCCCATAGAGGTAAAGGTTTGGGCCGGACTTGGCAGACAGACTTACAGGCTTATTAGGATTGCCTTAAGAAGCCTATTAATTTTATGACTAAGAAAGCACATTTATTAAACCTTCTTACTTGTAAAATGCATATTCACTAGTAAATATTGTTACTGACCTTAAATGTATGTAGACTTACCTTTTTAAAATGCTTTCATAGATTGAAAATTGTTCACACATTTTATCCATAACAAAATTGAATGGGTTATGAGAAAGCCCTAGTAGAGCTACAATTAACTCTTAACTCATCTACATGATAAAAAAAAAAAAAAAAATCAAGCCTGACTTCTTAGAACTATTTATCTGGAACTTAACACACCTGCTTAAGAACTATAAATTTAGGAAATGAAGACATTTTCCTATTAATCTGAGCCAAAACAGACATTTAAATCTATATTGCTTCTTGATAAAATCGTAGTATGTTTTAAAGTTGGAATTTATCTTTGCATTTGGTTCTCCTATTCCAATCCATTATATCTGAACCGTACCTGGTGGTGATTCCCCAGTTACTCTATTAAGGAGACTCGCATTCTGTTTAACCACGTCAGACATGCTTCAGCCCTATATTACAGTGGAGGACTTGGTACCAAGTGTTTACTTAGATTTGTGTAAAAAGTTTAAAGTCACACATATTAAATCCAGGCATTTTAATATTAATTTACACATTGAGCTTATAATGTACATGTTTGGTTTGTGTCTACTGTTAAACAGAAAAGATTTGGGGAAGTATCTAGTTGTAGGTACACCTGCTAAATATTTGCTGTATTTTACTTGCAACAGAGGAAAGCATTTCATAGTTACAGTGTGTTACCTGTATGACTCAGCCCTGCATGGGGATGAAGGAGATGACGAGGAGAAGGTTGTACTCGGTCTTTTTGGCATGTGCTTTTCTCTTTTGCTTTTATGGCCTTGATATTATTCTCTTTCTTTTCCACCAGAAATTAGATGGATGTAACAAGATGACATGTACCGGCTGTATGCAATATTTCTGCTGGATTTGCATGGGTTCTCTCTCTAGAGCAAACCCTTATAAACATTTCACTGATCCTGCTTCCCCGTGTTTTAACCGGTATGTATATGCCATCCTCTGGTCTCAGCAGCAGTTTTTGGTACTCATTTGTAGACCACTTTGCTTAGAGAATTCTCTTACATATTTTCTTACACATATGGTCTTTTATATTTTCTTGAAAGTGAGTTTATGATGAAAAATATGCTATCTGGAAATTTTCTTTTTTATCCTCAACTTCTTATAGTGAACATTTTTAAACATACAGAAGCGGTAAAAGTTGAAAGAGTATGATTAGTAGGATACCGTCTACCAAAATGAACAAGTGATAATATTTTGTCATATTTGTTTTCTAATACTTGATCCTAAGTTGGAGATAGGATGCTTTATCTCTAAATACTTCCACATTGTCTCCTAAGATAAGAAAATTCTTCTACATAACAACAATACTTAAATTGAACAATGATGGCATACTATCATCTAATAAACATGTTTTCAAACTTCCCAGTTATCCCTAAAAAATCTTTTAAAGCTGTTTTACTGAACCAGGATATAATCAAGTTCAAACATTTCATTTGGTTCTGTCTCTCCAGTCTCTTAATATAGAAGAGTTTTGCCCACCTTTTTTCATATGTGTTGAGGGGAACATTGACATTTGAGAGAGCCCAGGCCACTTGTCCTGTAGAGAACATCTTACTTTCTAGAGTTTTGCTTCTCCCTGTTGTCTTTTATTTTTTTATTTTTTTAAAGATTTTATTTATTTATTTGAGAGAGAGAGAGAATGAGAGACAAAGAGCACGAGA